AAAAGCGTTATCCAGCCCTGAAACACATCAGACACAATTCCCGGCAATACAGGTTACGACGTAATTCTAATTCCAAGTCTGCTAACTTATAGTATTCAGTACCAAAGTGCCTAAATTTAAATAAGCCTGTATAGGCTTTCTGGTTTCATCTTTTAGAAAAAAAAAAAAATCACCTACCCTTGACACAACTATGAAGGGAAGGATGGCTTAACAAGATAACCCGCATCGCCTGTCCACTCTTTAATAAGATCGTAAGACGTGCAATAGCTCTTTGTTGAGTTTGTGGGTGGCCCTGAAAAGGGCCTTTTGCGACAGTGGAGGAAAAGGCAACAGCTTAACCTCCGAAGCCATAGAGGGTGCGGCCCTGGCGCTTGAGCGCGTAGACCACGTCCATGGCCGTGACGGTCTTGCGCTTGGCGTGCTCCGTGTAGGTGACCGCGTCGCGGATCACGTTCTCCAGGAACACCTTCAGCACCCCGCGGGTCTCCTCGTAGATGAGGCCGGAGATGCGCTTGACTCCTCCGCGCCGGGCCAGGCGGCGGATAGCGGGCTTGGTGATGCCCTGGATGTTGTCGCGCAGGACCTTGCGGTGGCGCTTGGCGCCGCCCTTGCCAAGACCTTTGCCACCCTTGCCACGACCAGACATGGTTGCAGGAACGGAATAAAGCAGGCAGCAGGCAAGCTTCGCTTTAAATAGAGCCCTGGCGGACCTGATTGAAAACCACAGGCGTTAGGCGGGGTTTTCGAATCACGCCCTCAAAAGGGGGTGGAGCAAACAGATGAGCCATTACAATCTGAAGGTTTTGATTGGCCAGAAAACCCCAGCTATTTTCCGCGCTGTGTCATGACGTACAGGTTTCAATCTAGCGGAAAATACTCAATTTTGTTTTTCATCATTTTTGCCCGAAATGAAAGCCTTGTAGGGGCTATTACGCAAAGCAGATATCCCCATTTCATGTTTGTTTTTATTTTACTATTAAATTAGTCGATGGTTGCTTCGTGCGGACGCCCGTAAAATATCCAAAACGGTGAATTAAAGATGCCAACAACACCCCTTACTGGTAAAGCTTAAGCCTGTTCCTGACGGCTTTGTGAAGACAAAAACATGGAAAAAGCCTCTCAAATTGAGCCTCCTAATTGGAGACTTCATATTCCCCATCTCGAGTCAGACACCTAGTGACCTCGCTCCCCACCCCCCTTTTAAATAAAGACTGTACAAAAGGATAAACTTACGGTGTCGGTTGTCCTTTACCTGCTGTGTCCTTCCAATGTGTCCTGGTTCCATTTTTGTTTCCCTTCCAACCTTTACTAAGGACAGCATGGCTTTCTCAGTTCTGAAAAGACGTGTTTTCTAGATCTGGGAATTACAGTGCAGGGCTAATAGTTGATTAAGGTCATTACAAAGCCTGCAGGGACCTAGTGACACCTGTGATAAGATTAGTGCTGTCAAAACAAGGCTAATCTCATTTTTCCAAAAGATGGAAGAGCAGGCAACATTATGTCTTAATGTGAGTTTATTGTCGGGTTTGGACTTCCAAACATTTTTAACAATGAGGTAGTTGAGATGGCTCAGAAATTAAGTGTATTTGATTTGATATTCTCCCAGAGGTCCCAGGTTTGGTTCACAGTGTCCACATGGTAGCTCACAACCTCCCCAAACTCCAGTTCCAGGAATCTGACACCCTTTGCTCATTTCCATGCGTGCCACGGGTACAGGCAAAATAATCACAAAGAGAAAAATAAAATAAAGTCTGAAGTTAAATATCATGGTTATTACACTTCTAAAATAGATAAAGCCTTCTGACCAAATCAAAGGTTTCTGTTTCCTCTTATTATCCACCCCCACTACAAACACCTTAAACCAGGAGCCCCAGGTAAGAATGAATTTAAAACACATTTTTAAAACATGGAAATTTTCTGATAAGTTCCTAGGGTTCTGGTTAATTTTGAAGGGGCACAGCATATTTATTCCTTGCTGCAGAAGACATCAGAGGTCTGCTGCCAGTTAGCACTGGCAATGCCTTCTGTAATTTGGCAAGAAATGGCAACAGCGTTCCACCACAGGCGTTCTTGGCTTGGAGATAAGTATTGTAGTGGTTAGGAGCTGAATTAACATTCCAGCACGGTCATTTTCTAGCTGTTAACCAGAAATTCCAAACAGCAAGCTGACTCATCTCTAGGCTCTTATTTTCATAAAATTGAAATAAAAGCTAATGTTGTCAAAAAACCCTTCCTCATAGAACTCTCTAGAGGAAGTAGCAGTGAGAACAGCCTGGCATCTGGTATTTAGGTAAAGTTACATAAAATGTTAGTTTTATAAAGCCTTGGGGGAGTGGGAGAATGCTTGCTTGGTATGTGTGAGGCTTTGGGTTTGATTTTCAATACAGAAAAGAAATTATTTTTAGAAAACCTTTGTTCACCATAAGATGTTACTCATACTGCAAATTCGTATTCAGGAAAATGGGGAGGGGAGCAGAGAAGCTTTTCCTCAAAACACCGTTTTTTCTCTTACTCTACATTGGATGATTAATAAGAAACAGCAGGCCTGAGCCATCAGCACACATGGCCAAGTGATGTCCAGTAATATCTAAACGGATGCATATGCCAAAGCACCCATGATTTCTAAACATTGGGTGCCTGAGTCCTGAAACATTGCATCAATGTTCTGTATGCGAAAGAGCTGGGATTAGTCATGAAAGCACAAACAAGCTATGCTCTAAAACGCTCAGGAAGCTTTGAAATTTCAGGTGTCTGTCTGCCTGTCCACGTACCTCTCATGCTTAGAGCTGTTCCGAGTGGCCTAATAGTCATTATTAAATAAAAAAAAATAAAGGTATTGACTAAAAAGTAGCATTATGACAAAATTTGGCACCGTGTGTGCAACCTTTCGCTTTGAAATATGCCAAGGATTGCAGCATGAGCAGTGCTGAGAGACAGGAAAGAGCTACTTCTCTTTCTCATCACAACACTTGAGAGGAAGTGGTACCAGGGTGGACCTCCCAGAAGGCGCCTGTCACTGTTGAAGGCCACTGGGCTTCTTGTTTGCCTTCTGTTCACTATACCAGTATTTCCAGTATCTAGTACATAATTCTGTTTCCTATAATTTTCATGCACTTTCTCTTTAAAAAATACCTTCTACACAGACCCAGAAACACAGACACACAGACACAGACACACACAGACACACAAACACACATACACACACACACACACACACACACACACTTTGCTATTTGGTTCTTTTAAGAAAGTTTCCTGTGGCCTCCAACTCACAGTATAGCTGAGAACATGCTGGACTCTGATGTCCCTGCATCCACATCCCTGGTGCTGCCTAACATACCTGGTGTTTTTCTGGACAAGAGCTGCTGTTTCCATCAGCCCTAATCCAACAGTTTACCTTAGGGATATGTTTTTGTTCTCAACTTCTTTACAACCAATTGTGATGTATTGAAATTAGCCGCCAGGTGTCAGCGTTCCTCCAACCTACCACGGTTGATAAATGTTTAACCAGAGGGAGTTTGATGCTATCCTGGACTATGTGGTGTCCAACTTAAAACAAAAATTAAGCCAAATCAAACAACAACAACAACAAAAAGGGCAGAATTAGAAGTGATATTAATATCCTTAAACTCATATGAGTTAACTACATCCATAAGATGGGCAAGAATATCAATAAAGCTGTGCAGTACAATATAAAAAATGGCATATTTACCAAATCATGAGTTTATTAGTTGCACACATTATGATGGGAATGATACCGAGGCAATATACCAGATGCTAGAAGAATTTGTAACGCATTGAGGAAATGATAGCTCTAAGTTTATCTATCAAATTTTGCTGTTTTTTTTCCACTTAGTTTTCACAAACAGAAAAACAAGACAAAGGTTAAAAAAAGCAGAAACAAAACAAACAAGCAAAACCACAACAACAAGTTGAAGTCCCTGCTCAAATTCAGTCTTCATTTAAAAAAAAAAAAAACTGTAGCTGTTGTTCTGGGGCACTTAGTCTTTAAGATGGAATTTATAGCATAGTCATGCAAGGCAAATGTGTGAATTGGGGGACACTGAACACATGACTTCTGGATGCAGACATGTGCCCACACACATGTTCACATATATGAGCACACACGTGAAGACAGATAGGCGTACTTATACAAACCCAAGGTTTGACTTTGAAAAATGAACAGATGACCCTTTGTTCTGCAATCTAGCAATTTTAAGTTGTCTAGTTGGATCACATTTGTTGTTGTTGTTGTTGTTTTTAATGTGCATAAGTAGGAATGAGCATCAGGACCCCAGCAACTCTTGGCATTCTCCAGGACACATGCCAGCTTCCATTTTACTTCCTTAAGATCAGATAGATTGACATATTATTGGCTGCTAGGGCAGTCACTTGAAGGTTCTGATTCCAGAGGCATCAGCTTCAAGGACACCAGACAGATTAGCTAAGGTTTTAACTGAACTAAGGCCGGAGACCAGAGCACAGAGGAGACTGAAATGGTAGCTGAGGGTTGGAGAATGATGGAAGCTATTTCTCATCATGTGGGTCAACCTCAAGGAAAAGAAACCGCAGGAGAGAAGAAAAGAGTTGTTTTCATTCTCCACTCACTTCATGCAACCATTCCAGTACACGGGGAGCATCAAAGAGCCAGGAAGGCACTCTGACAGCTGCCTGCCTGTCTCGCTGGAGAGCTGTGAGCCACTGTATTCTCCACTTTCTAAAGTGAAAAACTAAAGAAAAGGGATGTTGGCACAGATAATAATTTCTACTGCATAAAAACATTAGGACTTCCAAGTGTGGTTTATGTTTAGCAGGTGATCAGAGGATAATTTCGAGCTCTTCTTCACAAGTGCAAGTCACATTTTATTACTATAATCACCCATGATGTCTCTTATCAGGACACGGAGAGAAGGTACTTCACCGGCATCGTATCACATATGCATCTGAAATGAAGCTCTGAAAACCTGTTCAACACCTTTGTAAACACAAACACACAGCAATCATTGTGCACACAGACATCTATATTTTCTCAGAGGGTGCCTCCTTGGGTTGTACAGTGTGTAGCATTCACAGTTGTATTGATGACCCATAGAAGACTGCAACGTCAGAGAAGTCAGAGCTTGGTGACAGAGGGATCACTAGGTAACAGGTGGAGAGGCTCAAAGGACAGTTGATCTGGATTCTAGGATACATGTGCTAAATCCTGGTGCAAGTATGAGGGTGCATCCCAGGATGAAAATTCCTAGCTTCTTCAGATGTGAAAATGAACTGTGTATCCTCAGATTTAGAGAGCCCTTTTAAGAAGTACACATATGGAATCCAGATGGATGGAGAAAATGAAGGATGCCTCTAGAAGCTGCTGGAGATTCACGAGGCCGCTTCTAGAGAGAGAGGTTGCATCTGGAGCGTTGTTAAGGAACTCAAAGACTTGACTGGGGGAATCATCTTCAGAAAGTGAACAGGGAAAGCTAAGAGCAGAGCTCCTCAGGCAGTTTCTGTGTATCAGGTCCAACTGTGTTCTAGAATGGAGCAAGTGTGCTTCCTGTAGGTCTTCGGCTGAGTTTCCTCCCTTCATGGGACTGCAGGCTGAAGGTCACTCACACTCCGCTAAGACATAGTCGCCCATGGTTTCTTTTGGGAAGACAAGAGACCCAGGGAGAGGAATTACTGGCCACGCGTCATATTGTCCTGTCCCTTTCTACCTCCTCCATCCCTGACGGTGGAATCCAGAGACTCCACTGGATTTCAGAAATGGTTATCTCTCCATTTTTAGTAGACACTGTTTTAGTAGCTGTCTAACCGCTTTCCTTGTCACCTCACTCACCCCTCACCATCTTCCGCTAACACAGACATTGTTCCCTTCTGCTTTTGTGACTTCACTAGCTCCTCAGGCATCTCAATGTAGTGTTCCACAGGACTATGTAGGCTGGCTTCTGTCACCCTCTCATTTTCTGAGGCTACAGATACTCAGAGCTGGAGTGGGGGTGGGCAATGTGAATTGCCCGTGAATGAGGTACGCACAAAGTCGGGGACAAGGCCAAGTAATACCCTCTCTTACTCAGCATTGCTGTTCTGTGTGTGTGTGTGTGTGTGTGTGTGTGTGTGTGTGTGTTCTAAGAGTCTCACAACCCTTCTGCTGAGATTAGGGTCACAAACTACCACAGCTGTTTTCCACGGCCTTTCTGGATGTAATCTGGGCATTTCTCAGAGTGACATCCTAAATCATTTCATTCTCAGGGGTCCTCTTTAGCTGCATCTACTGGTCATAAGTTCCATTCCACAGTAGATTTGGGTTTGGAGACTCACTAGTGGCTTTCTCAAGCTCGACCCTCTGACTCTGCCTTCAATAACACCTGTAAGTAGGTGCCTGGAAGGTTTTTCCTGAGTTAGGAGCTTCCAATCTGGGAAAAACAAAACAACACAAAACATCCCCAGGGCCATTCTGGAACTCTCTGAGCAAAGAACGTAGAGAGAGGGCTGGCTTCCTATAGAAGTCTCATTTTCCACAGAAGTATGTGTCCTGGAGGAAGAAGTACCATGGCACTTTCCCCGTGCTCCTACTCACCCGAAGCCTTCCTTTTCCTTAAGATCAGGATCAAAGCCCCAACAAGGAAGAGGACAACAATGGCGATCCCACTGACGACTCCAATAATCAGGGCCCGAGATGGCAAGGGCTCTAAAACGACAAAAGCAAATTCACGCCCACGACTGCCACTTCCCAGCCTAGAGCAAACCTGTGGCTCAGAGCCAAGGGGATCATCTCTACAACAGGTGTACTCTGCCCCACATGCCCATCCTTACCCCAGGTGACAGTGAGGGGCTGGTCGAAGCCTGGATGGTCCACTTGACAGGTGAACCTTGTCTCGTCACCAGGGGCCACAGCCAAGGCCACCTGGCTTTGATAGGTGCCGTCCCCATTAGGAAGCACATCCTCAGGGGTGAGGGCCTTGGCATCCAGCAGCTGGTCGTCCTTCAGCCACCTCATCGTGATATTCTGGGGGGAGAAGTTCAGAGCCCGGCACCTTAGAAAGGCCCCAGCAGAGGTCCAGTGATGAGTCACCTTCACCAAAGGAGGCACTTGAGGGAGAGAGGAAGGAGAGGGGCTTGTTTTACCCTCAGCAGGAGGATTGAAAATGTCACTTTCTCTTGTAGGTAGGAAGAGCACACCCTTCTCAGAAAAGCCAGTTGGAGGAGGTGCTTGGTATCCTGGAAATGGCTTCAAAAACTGATGCTAATGAATGAAGCGCCACACGGAGAACAGTTGCTTCTGTCTGCTCCCCGGTTAACACCGGCAGCTGCCCAAGCCCTCTGACCAGGCAGGCGACATTTCTCTTTCTGTGACACACATTAGGCTTGTACCCTCAGTACATCTGGTTCAGCCTACTAAGCATTCTTGTAGGAAAGGACCTTTGTAAGTAGGGAGCCATCAGTGAGACTGACTAGATTTGAGGAATAATCTTTAACTCCTGAAAGATGTTGCTATTCACAACTTTCGTCATACCATCCTGAAGGTGCCTGATCTTGTCTGATCTCGGGAAGCTAAACAGGGTCAGGCCTGGTTAGTACTTGGATGGGAGACCACCTGGGAATACCAGGTGCTGTAGGCTTAAAGGGGGAGATGGCATTGCATTGCCTGCTCTTCCAAAGGTCCTGAGTTCAATTCCCAGCAACCAATTAAAAACAAAAAAGTTTTTTTGCTGCTCAGATGGGTTGCCATATTTGGTACTTTCATCTGATAACTGATATTTCTGTATTCTTAAAAACATAATAAATATACACAGGCTTTGTGGCTACATCACGGGAAGGGTACTGATGCTCCCTTTTAAGCCACATGCATGAAGAAACTAAGTTTGGGTTCATAGTTGTGTTAACACCTCAGTATGAAGCGAAACCTCCATCCTAAATGGTGGTTTGCGCTTTTAAATCAAGGATTTGGGAAGATGAGGCAGGAAAATTGCTGCGTCTATGGCTAGTCTGGCCTAAATAGTGAGATGTAGGCCAGTCTAGACTACAGTGTGAGAGACTATCTAAAGAACCAAAACAGGGCTGGAGAGATGGCTCAGTGGTTAAGAGCATTGCCTGCTCTTCCAAAGGTCCTGAGTTCAATTCCCGGCAACCACATGGTGGCTCACAACCATCTGTAATGAGGTCTGGTGCCCTCTTCTGGCCTGCACACACACAGACACAATATTGTATACATAATAAATAAACATTTAAAAAAAATAAAGAACCAAAACAACAACAAACAGATAAACAACAAAGACACCGACAAAAAGGCAGGCTGGCATAGGCCAGGTGTGGGTTATGATTGTAATCCTAGAGCATGAAAAGCTGAGGCAGGGGTTTTCTTCGAGTTTGAGCCCAGGCTGGGTTACATATTGAATTAGTCAGTCTGGGTTTCAAAGTGAGATCTTGTCTAAAGAAAAATAAATGAAATAAATATGGAAATCTTAAGATTGAGAAAGTATGAGACGGAGAAAGTACTTTCAAAACTCCAGAGTGACTGACACCTTGACCTGGTACCTTGGATTCCCCTCTACTCCCACTCAAGAGCTTGGGGCCCGAGTATGGGTCTTCATACCTCGCTGCCCCAGAAGCCCTCTCCCCAACTCCAGGAACCGCTTCAGTTGCTCAGGACAGTCCTTTTCCAGGTAGTCCTTGTTCTTCCTGGCCCCGAGATTGTGCTCTTCCCACTCCACCTTGGTGGCCCAGGCCCCTGGTTCTGCTGCTCTCCACTCCAACGTCTTGGGGCAGAATTCAAGGTGGTCTTGACCATCGTACCCATACTTCCAGAAGCTGCTGGTAGTATTGTCTTCATGCACCTCACAGCCCAGGATGACCTGCAGGATGTGGGACTCGGACACCACTCCCACCTTCGTGACTGAAAATAAAGAAGGGGGTTTGGTCTCCACCCTCCCCAAGTATAGAATGATCGGGGACAGACAACTGTCACCCTCTTCTGTGCCTTTCCCCAGGGTCTCACACCCACCGTTGTCTACTTCAAGATGTATCCCCAAGGTAGCAAAACAGGGCTGTGCTCTGTCTGACTGCCATGGGGGGTGACTCCCCTCTTCACGTACCCTTACTGTGGTTATAGTTGTCCATGATAGTCCAGAAGTCCACAATGAACATGTAATCCCAGCCTTTCAGGCTCTGACTCAGCTGCAGCCACAGCTGGCTTGAGGTTTGATCCAAGACCCATGGGACCCGGGGCTCCGCACGGCGACTCTCATGATTGTAGGACACGAAGAGTTGGTCGTCCACATAGCCCAGAGCCTCAAACAAGGGTAGCCCAAGGTCTGGCTCAGAGGCACCCATGAAGAAATAGTACAGAGAATGGGACCCTGGGGAAGTAAGCAAGCCGGCTTTCAGAATGGGCAGGAAGCAGGATCAGAAGGCGGAGGTTCCACAGCCCTGGGTCAGCGCCCGCCTGCTAGAAGCTGAGAGAGAGGCCACCTTGTAGAGTTATACAGTTCCCTTCCCAGCACAACCCTAGCTGCTCTGGCCTTAGCTCTTACTCTGCCCATCTTGATGTCCCCCACTTGAGTAGAGGGGTTACCTGGAAACCCAGATTCTGGAAAGACCTTGGGTTTCTCCAGCTGTGGGGGGCCAAGCTAAGGAGTTGCTGCTCGATTTGTAAAGATGAAAGCCCTAACGAGCGGGAGGTAGTGAGTTTTCTCTACTTCCATGTCTGAATATTTCCATGTGTAGATGTTGGCCAAGAAACGCTGGCGACTGTGTTGACACAGAACTCAGGACAGCAAACAGAAGGGGTTCCAGGAAAAGGAGTTGACGGCAACTCTCCCTGTGGGGCTTTCCCCAGTTTCTCTCAGTTCCAGAGCTCTCCCTGTGGGGCTTTCCCCCCCGTTTCTCTCAGTTCCAGAGCAGCCTTGAGCAAGGTTGAACCTTAGAATGGCACCCGGCATGGGGTCAGCGCTTCACAAATGCTTGTTGGCCTGGAGTAGAGGGCTCACTCGCTCTTTTAACCCTAATATTCTGGAGGCTGAGGCAGAAGAATTGTCTCAGCTTTGAGGCCATCCTGGTGTGCATAGGTGAATTCCAGGCCATCCTGAACTACAGCGGGAGACACCCCCACGGCAGGGGGTGTGTGGAAATAAAGCAAGGTCGGATTTGAGTTTCACTAGTTTGTTTTTCAGTCTGAGGAAAGACCCAAGCCGAGAGTCAGTGAACTAGCAGTAACTGCTGTTTCCCAGTACATAACTAGTCAAAAACGATCAAGCCGAGAGTCAGTGAACTAGCAGTAACTGCTGCTTCCCAGTACATAACTAGTCAAAAACGATCAAGCGGAGAGTCAGTGAACTAGTAGTAACTGCTGCTTCCCAGTACATAACTAGTCAAAAACGATCAAGCAGAGAGTCAGTGAACTAGCAGTAACTGCTGCTTCCCAGTACATAACTAGTCAAAAACGATCAAGCAGAGAGTCAGTGAACTAGCAGTAACTGCTGCTTCCCAGTACATAACTAGTCAAAAACGATCAAGCGGAGAGTCAGTGAACTAGCAGTAACTGCTGCTTCACAGTACATAACTAGTCAAAAACGATCAAGCAGAGAGTCAGTGAACTAGCAGTAACTGCTGCTTCCCAGTACATAACTAGTCAAAAACGATCAAGCGGAGAGTCAGTGAACTAGCAGTAACTGCTGCTTCCCAGTACATAACTAGTCAAAAACGATCAAGCGGAGAGTCAGTGAACTAGCAGTAACTGCTGCTTCCCAGTACATAACTAGTCAAAAACGATCACAGGCTCAAATGCTATTAAAGGGGATTAAGTAGCACTTTGGCATTCTTTGGACAAAAGCCTGCTAATCTTTTGTTAATTTGCAAATCAGCAAAGCCCAGCTGAACAAGGGCCTCTAGCATAGTGGTTCTCAATCTGCCTGTCAAGACTCCTTGGGGTCGAACTAGCCTTTCAGGGGGATCTAATAGCAGATTCTCCATATCAGATATTTACATTATGATTCACAGCAGGAGCAAAATTATAGTGAAGAAGTAACAATGACAATAATTTTGTGGCCGGGCGTTGGTGGCACACTCCTTTAATCCCAGCACTCAGGAGGTGGAGGCAGGAGCATCTCTGTGAGTTCCAACCTGGTCTACAAGAGCGAGTTCCAGGACAGCTAGCACAGTTACACAGGGAAAGCCTGTTTCGAAAAAGAAAAACAAACCAACAATAATGATGATGATGGTGATAATTTTGTGGTCGGGGGTCACTACAACCTGAGAAACTGTATTTAAGGATCGCAGCATTAGGAAGGCTGAGAACCACTGCTCTGGTCCTGCAGGTGTCCAGAAAGTGACTCTGCCAAAGGACCCTGACCACCCCCCCACACCCTCAGGTGAGTGAGAGGGTTTGGAAGCCTAGCTCTCAGCTGCCTTCCTGTCTTCAGACTTCTACTGAGTTCTTTTCTTAGCCTATCTCACCTGCACCCAAGTCTTAAAACCCAAAGATCATATTGTCCCAAACCTTAAGTTCCCTTGTATTACAGGAATATCAAAGCCTCAGGACAGGAACCCTTCCACACCCCCACCCCACCCCCACATGAGGGTAATTAATTATCTTATGACGTCAAGGCAGCACACCGAGGCAGAAAAAAAAATTGTTGTGTAGTGTCCTAACAATGAACAATGTATGGACTCCGTTGTAGGATCCAGAGCTGTCCATCAAAAGGAATGTTTTGCTTTCTGTTTAAACCTAAATGGTCGTGTCAGGACCCTGAAGATGGACTCATTCTGGACCAAACATGGCCACAATAAATAGATCTGTTCCGTCACCGCTGGGCTTCTTAATTGGGAAGTTGCTACCAACCGTAAGGGCTGCTAGAGCCCTGGCTTCTGCCCTCAAATCTTTGTTTACACTATTACACCCATTTGTAATAATAATAATAATAAAAAAAACAACCTTTCAAGATGAAAGAACAATTTCCAAGCGAGAGGAAATGTCCTCCATGCCTGCCACTCCAAGTGACCTTCACCTCCTCTCACCAAAAAGTAATACAGGGGGGTGCCACCCAGCACCTCCAGCGCTCACAGTGCAGACAGGAATCTTTCTCCGTGATCGGAAGATAAAATGCCAAAGGGACAACTGTGGTCGTTCTTGGTGAGAAACTTCAGATCCGGGTGAGTAGGCGAGGTCGGATAGCGCAACTCACAATTAAAACAAACCGCAGGCTCAGCTCTATCAACGTGACCCCCTCACCTTTGCTTTGACTGGCGACACCCCAACCGGCCAGAGCAGGGGAGAAATGTGCCCTGGGGTAGCTAGAAAAGCTAGCTGTGTGGCAGATGTCCCCTGGGGGTCTGCATGTGGAGAGCTGGATGGGGGACTGCAGAGGGAGGCGTTGGCACTCCGCAGTGACAAACTCCGTGCAACAAGAAAAATCAGTTTCGGTTTTGTGTCCCACACCCCTCCCCCCCCACTTTCCCCTCCCGCACTTACGCTGCTGCCGCGCCTGCGGGGCCATGGACCACAGCAGCAGCAGCGGCAGCACAGAGAGCCTAGCTGATAGGTCCATGTCCCCAGTCTGGTCCACCTGTCTTCACTAGGATTCGGAAACGTGGAGGATCCAAGAAGTTACCCCGAAGCCATTGCTGAGACTCCGAACCTGTCAGATAAAACTTCCTGGCAAGCGAAATCCCTTTCCGGGGCCTTTGGTGGAAAGAAACAAGTCCTAAGTCTCAGTGGTTCAAGTCTGTGACCTCAGCATTCATTCTGACCTCAGCATTGCTGAGGCAGAGGGATTGATATGAGTTCGAATCCACCCTGGATTACATAGTGAATGACAGCCCAGCTTGGACTACAGAGTGAAATTTAAAGAAAAAAAAAAGAAAAGAAAAAGAAAGAAAAAAAGAAAGAAAAGAAGAAAAGAGAGAAAAAAGAAAGAAAGCTAAAATTAAAGAGAAAAGTGAGTATCCAGAACTTGCACTCTGAATCCTGAAGCTGAGGGCGCTTGTTTGTGAAACACTCAGTGACCCAACAGGCTCCAAATCAATCCCCAGTCTCCGCCCCTTAAATCATCACAAATGTTGTTAATTGAGAAAACTTATCTCACAAATTTGAGATCTAAACATTCAACATTTCCACACTCGCTATCTGAATTCTGGCTTAGGAATTTCAATCATGTTAATAAATTGAATGCATATTTATTCATAGCCTTAAATTATCTAACAAATTTACAAGTGGTACCTTTCTAAGTATGCCAATTTTGGTAATTCGAGAAAAAAATCAAATTGGAAAATGAAGGGCTCTTAACTGAATGAGGATAGTTGAGATAAGGTTGAGAGAATGGGTACCTAGGGTTTGGCTCTTAACTGAATGAGGATAGTTGAGATAAGGTTGAGAGAATGGGTACCCAGGGTTTGGCTCTTAACTGAATGAGGATAGTTGAGATAAGGTTGAGAGAAGGGGTACCTAGGGTTTGGTTATTTTTTCTTCTTCTTCTTCTTCTTTTTCTTATTTTTTGTTACCAAAAAATAAACCACATTGATTGTAATGTGACTCATGTGTCTAATATGTAAAAGTTAGTGGGGTTTGGTTTATCTGATGACGTTAACAGCCATTACCAATCAATTGTAGAATATTTACATTTTCTCTCAGTTTTAGCCATTACCTCTCAAATTCCTACATACATCCTGCCCCACCCCCCAAGCAGGACAATCACTCATCTTCTTTCCTTTGATTCTGACATGCACATGCCCTACTAATAGAATCTATACTTCCTGTGGCTAGTGTGTGTGTGTGTGTGTGTGTGTGTGTGTGTGTGTGTGTGTGAAGAGACAGAGACAGAAAGACAGAGAGAGACTTCTGTGGCTTAGCCTAATGTTATCATACATGCTCGTCCTGACACATCTCATTCTTAATTAGGATTAATCAATATTAATTAGGATTCATAACTCTACATTTTATTCATTCCTCAGCTTGTGCACTTGTGAGATGTTTCCATTTTCCACTCTGGGGAATACTGTTGTCATGAATATCGGAATATATTTTAATGTTTCCTTGTTTTCTCATTGCTCTTACATAGTCACCATGAATAGAGGTTGTGTAGTAACCATTATAAACCTTTTAACAAGGTGCTTCGCTGGTTTTCAGCAGCTGCAGACAGCATTTCACCTTCCCATCAGCAGAGAACAAGAGCTCCGATTTCTCTACGTTATCCTGTTGTCCGTCTTTAAAACTCCAGCTTACCCACTGTGTAGGAAATGGTACCTCACGACTCAGGCTTTCTGCTCCCTGGTAGCCAGTAACATAAACACAATCTCACCTGCTTATTGCCAGTTTGGAAATCTTTGGGGAAATGTCCTTGCACATAATCTACGTACTCATTTTTTGAGGGAAGGGGTCTGGGTTATCTGTTGCTTGGGTCATCAAAGGGTGTTTCTCAATATTATTTATAACAAATGAGTTTGGGAGACTACTCGGAATGTGTCATTGTGTCTTGTAAAGTCGCTTTCTAGCTTGTCTGAATTTTGGTGAATGTAAGGATTTGCATCCCTTGTGATACTGTGACGGACATCTATCTAGCTGCTCTAATGCTCATGCATTTTGCTCGTAAGTCCTAATAATACCTTCATCTTGTTCTCATCTGCCACTGATTCTTAGGACCTCAAGGAAATGAACAAGTACTGGCAAAGTTACATCAGCAGCAGACAGATATCTTCTAGGGGAAACATAGCCCATGGGGGAAATAACCGTTATCAGTTACCTGTAAAATCCTATGAGAAATAACCATCCTGTTAATACTCCTCCCCTTTCTCACACATAGAGTATTAATATGATCTTCCTTCTAGATACACATCTACCTAAATTCCGACTCTCTAATCATATGTATGTAAGCATGAATAATAAAAATCCAGAGACAGATATTGGGTTTCAACCTAAATATCAGAAAAGCAAAGCAGCCAGTCAATGGTTCTTATCTCTACCTCAGACAAAAAAATCTCTATCCTGCCTCTATGAATCCTCAGATTGAGACGGAGCCCTGTCTCCTCCTGTCTTACATTCTTCTCTAGTGCTGGGATTAAAGGCGTGCACCATCACTTCTATGGCGACTAGTGTGGTTGCTGAGAATAAAGGTGTGTGTCACCACTGCCTGGTCTCTATGGCTGACTAGTGTGGCTTTTGTGTGTTCTGATCTTTAGAGAAGCTTATTTATTAAAACACAAATAATATACCACTATATATATTCTAAATGCTCTAAATGCCAGCCACACAAATACATACCTATAGGGAAGTGAGACAAAGTTATAAAAACCAACCTCTTGCATAATCTGAGATGTCAAAACCCATAGTGTAAAAATAGAGATGAATAAAAGTTTTTAAAATTACACAGACACACATATATATACATACATACACACATATGTATTTCTGTGTTTACTTATTTATTATCTGTGAGTTATGTATGCGGGCAATTGGGCAAACTTGTGGCAATCAGAGGACAACTTGCAGGCGTCAGTTTTCTTCTTCCACTAGGTGGGTCCCAGAGATCGAACTCTGTAGGCAAGAAGTTCTTGACCTGCAAGCAGTTCCCAAGTAACCACACAGAGGCTTAATATTAATTATAGATGTTCAGTCAATTGCTCAGGCTTGTTACTAGCCAACTCTTACATCTAAATTAACCCCTACTTCCTAGTTTTGTTTTGTCGTATGGCTCTTGGCTGTCATCTCATTTCCACGTATCCTGCTTCCTCTACATCTGGCTTGTGACTCCCAGCTCTGCCCTTCTTCCTCCCAGCATTTTTAATTTGGCTCCCTCTCCTAACCTTATCCTGTTTAGCTAATAACCAGTCATCTTCTTTATTAAACCAACCACAGTGACATATATTCACACAGGGTAAAGAAATATTATACATATCCTCCTTTTTGTCTAATTAAAAAGGAAGGTTTTAACTTCAACATAGGAAAATTATGTAAAAGAAAACCAGTTATCAATTAAGAATTACAGTTACAACCTCAAGCTCATTGGTATTTGGCAAAATTAGAGAAAATATTCCATTATCTATTTTATCTTTGTGACTCTAAAGTTTTATACTTAACTTATCTTTTATCAGAACTAAGGAAAACTTTTAACTATGATTGTCCGGTCTTCATCTCCATCAAAGACCCTTAAAGGGTGAAATCATACCTAATAAAAGGGACATCTGGCTGCCTGGACAGTCATCCTAAGTTCTTCTGTAATGTTGGGGTATCCATCTTTGGTCTATAGGCATAGTATATCTGACAGACTTTGCTGAGAAGCAGGGAATTTTGAAGGAGTTTCCTACCTTGTCTTGGCAAAGGTTGACTGTCACTTTCTTTTGCATCCAGTTTGGACAGTATACTGTCAGAAACTGAGGCAAATGCTGTGGAATAATCTGCTGATCACTTTAAAGATTTGTCACTAGAAGCAGGTTAATAAAACACTGATTGGCAGGTAGCCAGGCAGGAAGTATAGGTGGGGTGACCAAACTAAGAATGTTGGGATGAGGAAGGATGTATTCAGCGGAGTCTTGAGAGATGCAGAGAGAAGCAAGATGGGCATGCTATACTGAGAAAAGGTACCAAGCCGCATGGAAAAGCAAAGATAAGAAATATGGGTTAGTTTAAATATAAGGATTAGCTAGTAATAAGCTGAGCTATTGGCTGAGCATTTGTAATTAATATTAAGGCTGTGAGTAATTATGTGGGAGAGGCCTCAGCATAGGAAAACTCCGCCTCCAGGCAAGGTCAGTTTTTGACCCAGAAGGCTAGCATTTGCTATAAGGAATGCAAACTCCTTATGGAATTTCTTTAATACCCATTATCTTCTCTGAAGTAAATTGGTGATGCCAGGAGTAGATGTGTCTTGCTGTTATGAAAAGTCATAGGTCATTAAACATATTAAATGCCATATTCTTTGCATGGCCTTGAAAATATACCTAATATGACTATAATAAGTTTGACAATTATTGATGGCTATTAATTTGTATTTCATAATTATACATTACATTTTTAAATGGGTTGCATAAACACAATACCCAAAACAAAAGTAGAAATAAACATACGGTATAACAAAATTAACTTTAAATTTATATCAATATACCAAAGTTTATAACAATGTTAAATATTTAAGACTAGTGATTTTTTTTGTTTAAAAGAAGATTCAATAATCTACCCTTCTATTCTATCATATCTATATGCTCCCTTTTTCTTTTCAGAATGAGAACCCTGTGATCAAATCTCCTTTGTTTAGTTTTTTTTTTTTTGACTATTACCAATAACAACTTCTAACCACTGCCCCCTTAAATGGTAACAAACATTTATAACCAATATTTTGAAAATGTGGCCATTGTTCTTTAGACTGCTTACTTTTGTTTGGAGGCTCTGATAATATTTGGACCCTGAGAAAGCTTAGGAGAATAGTTAAGTCTTGGTTATAGTACTCTGTGATGGGATCATCTCAGTCAGTAGCCTGAGAGTTTCTCTTGATACCGAACCATCTGTTTTTATTGGTGCCTGGTACCCTGTTGTGAAGACACATAAACTTTTAAAAGAATCATACATACCTGTGTTAATACAAGCCTATACTATGCTTTGTACACAACTCAGCCAAAGATGATTTTTTTTTTTATGTTTGAACAGGTAAAATATATATCCCATGTCTTATAGTCCTCCTAGGTTTATATCTTTATGTCTGTAGCTAGGATTTCAGGGTGTCTTCCTTGATCAAAATTGATCCACTTTAACCTTGAATGAATCCACAGCTGTTGGTGTACAAAAGAGTTCCACATTAGCCCAGAATGGAGTATAACAGAGGTTTATTTATTTGGAGATAGACTCACAAAAAAGGTAGCGATCTGCATGTGCTAGGAACTGAAACCAAATCCAGCAGCCAAGAGGCCCGCACATTTTTCATCTGCATTTATAGGGTTATATGAGACCACGCTCAAAGTGAGCCAGTAACTTAAAG